AATAATAGAGTAATTAAAACACTTAACCCAGGCTGGGAGTGACGGGTCACACCTGTAATCCCAGTGGTTTGGGAAGCAGGGGGATCACTTGAGACCAAGAGTTTGATACCTGCATGGACAACATAGTGAGAGCCCTGTCTCTGCAAAAAACTTTTTTTTTTTTTTTTTTTTTTTTTTTTTGAGACAGGGTCTGTCTCTGTCCTCTAGGCTGGAGTGCAGTGGCAGGCTCTCGGCTCACTGTGAGCTCTGCCTACTGGCCTTAAGCAATCCTCCCACCTACGCCTCCTGAGTAGCTGAAACTATAGGCGCGCACACCACCACATCCGGTTAATTTTTGTACTTTTTGTAGAGTTAGGATTTTGCCTTGTTGCCCAGGCTGTTCTTGAACTCCAAGCCTCAAGCAATCTGACTCCCTTGGCCTCCCAAAGTGTTGGGATTACAGGCGTGAGCCACTGCACCCAGCAGATCTACCAAAAACTTTTAAAATATTAGCCGGGGTGGGGCGCAGTGGCTCATGCCTGTAATCCCAGCACTTTAGGAGGCCGAGGTGGGCGGATCACCTGAGGTCAGGAGTTTGAGAGCTGCCTGGCCAACATGGTGAAACCCTATCTCTACTAAAAATACAAAATTTAGCTGGGCGTGGTGGTGAGAGATTGTAATCCCAGCTACTGGGTAGGCTGAGGCTGGAGAATCGCTTGAACCTGGGAGGCGGAAGTTGCAGTGAGCCGAGATCATGCCACTGCACTCCAGCCTGGGCAACAAAAGCGAGACTCTATCTAAAAAAAAAAAAAAAAAAAAAGCCAGGCACAGTGGCTCACACTTGTAATCCCGGCACTTTGGGAGGCCAAGGCGGGTGGATCCCTTGAGCCCAGGAATTCAAGGCTGCGGTGAGCTGTGATCACACCACTGCACTCTAGGCTGGGAACCTATCTCTGACAAACACACAAACAAACCACTTAACTCTTCATCTGCAGGGAGGCAGGAGTTGATTAACTTTTCCAAGGAGCTCTTGGGACATTAATTTTGTCTTTTTTTTTAAAGTCAGATTACAGCATCCTATTTAGTCATATCTCAGTCAACGTTAACCATGCACATACAATGGAAACAATGAACATGTAGGCAGTCTAATGTACCCAGTACTTAGGATATGCCTGTGTCTCCCAGAGAGAGAATTCTTCAGGGGGCATGTGGCAGGTGCCTGTAATCCCAGCTACTCGGGAGCCTGAGGCAGAAGAATCGCTTGAACCCGGGAGACAGAGGTTGCAGTGAGTTGAGATCGTGCCATTGCACTCCAGGCTGGGTGACAGACCAAGACTTCGTCTAAAAAAAAAAAAGAGAGAATTCTTCAGGAAGACTGAGACAGGTGAAGTTGATCTTTGTTTATCTTTTGTGTGGTTCCAATTATCTCCCAGAAAAACCTTTTTTTAAAATTTTATTTTATTTTTTCAGACAGTCTCACTCTGTCGCCCAGGCACAATCTTGGCTCACTGCAACTTCCACCTCCTGGGTTCAATTCTCATGCTTCAGCCTTTCGAGTAGCTGGGATTACAGGTGCCCACGACCACACCTGGCTAATTTTTGTATATTTAGTAGAGACAAGGTTTTGTCATGTTGGCCAGGCTGGTCTCCCAGAAAAACCTCTTGAATAGTGTACTTCTACCTACATGAATGTTTTTGAGTATAAAGCTGTGTATATTCTGGTGCTATTTATGAACACAACAACATGCTGATTTATTTAATGCAACCATAGAAGTGAAAAGCAAAATTTACGTGCTGAAAAATATTACCATATTTGATATTTTTATCAGTGTAAGACTTCAGTTTTGCTCTTGGCTTTCTTGACACTTGGTGTTATGGTCTGAATGTTTGTGTCTCCCCAAAATCCGTCTGTTGAAATCCTAACCTTCAAGGTGATAGCATTGCAGGTGGGGCCTTTGGGAGGTGATTAGGTCATGAGGGTTCAACCAAATGAGTGAAATTAGTGCCCTTATAATAAAAGACCCCAGAAAGCTAGCTCATCCCTTCCACCATGTGAGGACACAGCAAGAAGAAGCCATACATAAACCAGAAAGTGGGACTTCACCAGACACCAAATCTGCCGGTGCCCTGATCTTGAACTTTCCAGCCTCCAAAACTGTGAGAAAGGAATTGCAGCTGATATTGGCCACCCAGTTTATAGTATTCTCTTATAGTAGCCTGAATGGGCCAGGCATGGTGGCTCACGCCTGTAATCCCAGCACTTTGAGAGGCCGAAGTGGGCAGATCACCTGAGGTCAGGAGTTCGAGACCAGCCTGGCCAACATGGCAAAACCTCATCTCTACTAAAGATACAAAAATGAGCTGGGCGTGGTGGTGTGTGCCTGTAGTCCCAGCTACTGGGTAGACTGAGGTGGGAGAATCACTTGAACCCGGTGGGTGGAGGTTGCAGTGAGCCAAGATCACGCCACTGCACTTCAGCCTGGGCGACAGAGTGAGACTCCATCTCAGAAAAGAATAATAATAATAATAATAATAATAATAATGATAGCCTGAACTCACTTTTCCTCCTATTTCTCTGGATATCCTTATTTGTCTCTTTTGCCACTTCATCCTCTGCAAACAATACGTTCAAAGTTGGACTTTTTTTTTTTTTTTCTGAGATGAAGCCTTCCTCTGTTGACTCTGTCTCAAAAAAATAAATAAATAAATAAAATATAATCTGATCTTTTCACCACATTGCTTTAGGGCCTTTAATGGCTCTTTCTGCTATTGGATAAGTTACGAACTCTAACTTCACCCTGCATGGTCTGACCACTAACTTCCTCTTATGCAAGCCCAATCTCCCCTCCAAACCTCCACCTGGCTAGCTATAAAATACAATCTCAAACCCTAAAGACTGCTTTTCTCATTGGTTTCTTTCTTTCCATCTCTCTTTTGAGATGGAGTCTCTCTCTGTCACCCAGGCTGGAGTGCAGGGGTGCAATCTCGGCTCATGGCACCTCTGCCTCCTGGGTTCCGGTGATTCTCTTGCTTCAGCCTCATGAGTAGCTGGGATTACAGGCTCCTGCCACCACACTAAGCTAATTTTTGTATTTTTAATAGAGATGGGGTTTCACCATGTTGGGCAGCCTGGTCTTAAACTCCCGACCTCAGGTGATCCATCTGCCTCAGCCTCCCAAAGTGCTGGGATTACAGGTGTGAACCACCGTGCTCGGCCTCCCATTGGTTTCTTTGCTTGATAATATATTGCAATTATATTAATATTCACATAGAATCTGTTTTTCTGAAGGCATAAATGCTAATATATTTGGGAGGTTTCTTTTCCTTTTACATTTTGGTTTTTATTTTATTTTAGAGATAGGGTCTCACTGTCACTCAGGCTGGAGCACAGTGGCTTGTTCATAGCTCACTGCAGCCCTGACCTCCCAGGCTCAGGTGATCCTCCCACCTCAGCCCTTTGAGTAGTTGGGACTACAGGTGCATGCTACCATGCCTGGCTAATTTTTGTATTTTTTTTGTAGAGAGAAGATCTTACTATGTTGCCCAGGCCTCAAGTAATTCTCCTGCCTTTGCCCCACAAAGTGCTGGGATTACAGGCATAAGCTACTGTGCCCAGCCAATAATAAGTTTTAAGCGGAAGAGACTGGTTGTCTTTTAATGTTATAATTGGAAAGATTTGGTAATTTCCTGGCACACAGGTTTTTAAAAGCATGTACGCAATAGGGCTTGTTTTTTTAATACTCTTGGAATCCTCCTGCCACAATGTACGTAAATCCAGGCTAATCCACTAGAGGATGACAGACCAAAGAGAGATGTGAATCAGCCAGCCCCAGCCAGCCCACCAGCTTATTGCAGAGTACGCTCAGCTGAGATGGAACCGATCTTATCCAAACCAGAATCATCCAGTGGAGTTTCGCCCAAATTGCTGACTCTCAGAACTATGAACTAATTGAATAGCTGTGTATTTTAAGTTTTAAGTTAATTGATTATACAGCAAAACCTAACTAATGTCATGTGCTGATTCCAAACACTGGGTACTCATGTTAAAAGAGCATCACTGGCCAGGCACACTAGTCTACACTGTAATCCCAGCACTTTGGGAGACCAAAGCAGGAGGCTCACCTGAGCCCAGGTGTTTGAGATCAGCCTGGGAAATAACATAGCGAGACCCTGTCTCTACAAAAAATTTAAAAGATACCCAAGTCTAGTGACATGTACCTATAGTCCCAGTTACTCAGGAGGCTGAGGTGGGAGGATCACTAGAGCCCAGGAAGTCAAGGCTACAGTGAGTGAAGGTCATGCCACTGCACTTCAGCCTGGGCAACAGACTGATACCCTGTCTCAAAAACAAAAACAAAACAAAACAAAATGGCCGGGCGCAGTGGCTCACGCCTGTAATCCCAGCACTTTGGGAGGCTGAGGCAGGCGGATCACCTGAGGTTGGGAGTTCAAGACCAGTCTGACCAACATGGTGAAACCCCGTCTTTATTAAAAATACAAAATTAGCCAGTCATGGTGGCACATGCCTGTAATCCCAGTTACTTGGGAGGCTGAGGCAGGAGAATCACTTGAACCCGGGAGGCGGAGCTTGCAGTGAGCCAAGATTTTGCCACTGCACTCCAGCCTGGGTGACCAGAGCGAGACTCCATCTCAAAAAAACAAAACAGTGTTTGTTTCCCACTCAGTCAGTTTCCATCTCAGCTGAGCCAGCTGCACTCCACCTGGTCCTCAAGCTAATAGATTTCACTTCCTTGAAGGCCCACAAAATCTTTTTTTTCTTTCTTTTTTTTTTTTTTTTTTTTTTTTTGAGACGGAGTCTCACCCTGTCACACAGGCTGGAGTGCAGTGGTGTGATCACGGCTCATTGCAATCTCTGCCTCCCAGATTCCAGCGATACTCATGCCTTAGCCTCCTGAGTAGCGGAAATTACAGACGTGCGCCACCATGCTTGGCTAATTTTTTGTATTTTAAGTAGAGATGGGGTTTCACTATATTGGCCAGGCTGGTCGTGAGCTCCTGGCCTGAAGCAATCTGCTCACCTCAGCCTCCCAAAGTGCTGAGATTACAGGCGCGAGCCACTACGCCCAGTCACAAAATTCTTTAAAGAAGCCAATCCCATCCTCCCTCAGGAACAAAGGAGCCACCTCACCCTCTTGTTACAGCAGATCCTGCCTCCCACAGTCACCCTTCTCCCAAGAGCAATCTCCATCTGACCCTGCATGGTGCGTGGTGCCCTCCTGCCTCAGGCCGTGAGTACATGCAGCTAAACTGCTGTCAGTCTTATCTGTCCAGTGTCGAGTGTTGTGTGTTCAGCCATCCCATAACCCTAGCGTGGGACTTCCTCCCTCACCAACCAGGAGAAGAGGAAGTCAGCAAACCGTCTACCAATTCTTATCTAGATTTGTCCTCTTTAGCTGCAGCTTTTGCAATACTCTGGTCATACTCATAGCATTCTGCTGGAATGTCCGCACCTGACCTGGGCCTACATGCAATTCTGCTTTTATTTTGAGAAAATGATTTATCATTCTTTCTGCTTTTATTTTATTTATTTATTTATTTATTTATTTTGAGACGGAGTCTCGCTCTGTCGCCCAGGCTGGAGTGCAGTGACCGGATCTCAGCTCACTGCAAGCTCCGCCTCCCGGGTTCACGCCATTCTCCTGCCTCAGCCTCCTGAGTAGCTGGGACTACAGGTGCCCGCCACGTTGCCTGGCAATTTTTTTGTATTTTTTTGGTAGAGATGGGGTTTCACCGTGTTAGCCAGCATGGTCTCGATCGCCTGACCTCGTGATCCGCCCGTCTCGGCCTCCCAAGGTGCTGGGATTACAGGCTTGAGCCACCGCGCCCGGCCTCTTTCTGCTTTTATAATTTGTTCTATTTTAAATTATTTTTCTCATTTTTGCCTTTGCTCCTCTCTTCTTAGCATTGTATATTCAAAAGAATACCCTCCTACTCTACATTTTAATCCAAGACAGAGGAATGCAACAGGCAGAACCCCTGAGGCAGGAGCAGAGGGATGTTTGGGGAACTGTAAATGGGAGGTAGACAAGAGACCAAACTGGACTTTAAGTTGTTTCAGCAAGTGTACAGCTTAGAAAGGATCTCATTGGTCTGGGTCCTAAAATAGCTCAATGGACGGCTGCTAACTCAAAACTTTTTTCTCACTACTCTACAATTAAATCTCAGTTGAACTCTGGAAAGATTCTGGAATACCTAGGTTTATTTTTTCTCAGTGTGGGTCTATTTTTCTTTTTTTTTTTTTTTATTTGTTATGAGGCCGGAGTCTTCAACTCTATCGCCCAGGCTGGAGTGCAGTTGGCACTCATCTCTCGGCTCACTGCAAGCTCCGCCTCCGCGGGTTCGCCCCATTTCTTCCTGCCTCAGCTCCCCCGGCTCAGCTTGGACTACAGGCACCCGCACCCGCGCCCGCTAATTCTTTCTTTGTGTTTTTAGTAGGAAGACGTGGGTTTTCACCCGTTTAGCCCAGGATGGTCTTGATCTCCTGACCTCCGTGATCCGCCGCCTCGCATCCCAAAGTTGCAGGGGATTACAGGCGGAGCCACCGCGCCCGGCCTCAGTGGCCTATTTCCACCAGTAGTTGTAACCATCCTTTCAACCAAACATCTCCATTTGAGTAGCACAGGTCTATTAAGGCCATTTTCTCTTAATTAAGACTTCTCAGCATGGCGCGGCAGGAGTGTGGGGGGCCTACAATGGTAGACCACAGGGACCTTTGGGAGGCTTGTATCTAGTCCATTTTTCACAACTCGCTCTCTACAAGACATCTGAGTAACTCCGGCGCAATTTAATAAAAGGCAAGAGGCTTTTTCTTTTTTTTAAATTCTGTTCTTTTTGAGATGAGTCCTTGCTGCTTGTTGCCCAGGCTTGGAGTGCAACGGCAGGAGGCCAGGGCGAGTTCGAGACCGAATCCTGGCCAATATGTGAAAATCCCTTCTCTCTAATCAAATACAAAAAATTAGCTGGGCATAGGTGGCGCGCATGCCCTGTAGTCCCAGCTGCGTTGGAGATGAGGCCGACGATTGCTTGGAACCCATGAAGCAGAGGTTGCCAGGAGCCCGACGATTGCACCACTGCACCCAGCCTGGGTGCAGAGTGAGACGCTATCTAAAAAAAAAAATTAGACCTGCACGCCCAACGAAATTCTTTTTGATGTATTTCTCAATTCTCCTGGTTTGTGTTTCCCTTATTTCTGAACATGATGTATCGTTTACTTTTTATTTTTTTTATTTTTTTTTTTGAGACGGAGTCTCGCTCCTGTCGCCCAGGCTCAGGAGTGCAGTGCCGGATCTCAGCTCACTGCAAGCTCCCGCCTCCAGGGTTTTACGCCATTCTTCCTCGCCTCAGACATCCCCGAGTAGCTGGGACTCACAGACGGCCGCCACTTCGCCGGCTAGTTTTTTTGTATTGTTTTTAGTAGGAGAACGGGGTTCACCGTCTTTAGGCCAGGATCGGTCTCCGATCTCCTCTGACCTCTGTGAATCCGCCCGTCTCGGCCTCCACAAGTGACTGGGATTACAGGCTGCGAGCCCACCCTGCCGCCCCGGCCATGATGTATGTTTTAAATTGAAAGCTTTAGCTCACTGCAGAAAGTCTCCTAAGTCACATCTCTTCCTTTGCAAGAGTAGGCGAAGAAGGATCTAAGGGCTTGGCTTGTTTGAAAGAAGCAGACCCCCTAACGTCACATCTTTAGGGAAAGTGATACAAGAGCTTCTGCACCTCCTGATAGAGGAAGTCCAAAGGGTGTACACACACAATGGTGCCTGAAGAAGAGCCTCAAGACCGAGGTGAGCATTCATCTTCTCAGTTCTAGGGAAGGTAGTAACAGCAGGATAGAGTGGGAAACAGGCATTGAGGTGATAGGGGTGACTTTGGAAGAAGAAATAGACAGCTTTTCACACATAATAATAATTTCAGTATGGAAATAGGTATGGACCCAAGATACTTGGATCAGGGAAAGATGAAAGAAAAAAAGAAAAACAACTCGGGCCTAGAAGGTCTTAAAGGAAAATGAATTTGGTCAGGCGTGCAAGCACATGCCTAAAGTCCCAGCTACTCAGAGACTGAGGCAGGAGGACCACTTAAGCCTGAAAGTTTGAGGCCAAGGCTGTGCGATTCAAAGGTAAAAAGAGTAGGGAACTGGAAAGTACAGTTTACTCTGAATGAGTTTTGCCTGGATTTGTCTTGGGTTCCAGGGTACTAACTGGTCATTTGTTCTGTAATCTCTGTAATTTCTGTAATCTCTTCTTGCTTTCACATTTTTTGTGTTTTAATTAGTTTTGATCATAGCCTGATTTTGTTGTTCTAAGATTTTTGGGACTCTGGCTTCCTGGGTCTTCAGCAGTGGAGATTATGACTATGCATTTGTCTTGCTGATCTGACAGAGAAAGGAGTCTGGTGGTTCCAGTTGAAGGTCTGGTCTGTGGCAGTCGTATCTATCTTGCTCCTCTGTGTCTGTTTCACTGTGAGTTCTGTGGGTAAGTTCTTGGCTGGAGTGCAGTCATCTCTTGGTCCTTTTCCCAGTCACATTCTATAGATTTCCTGAAGAAACAGGTTCCCCTTTCTAGACATAAAATGGCAACCCTAACCGAGAAGGCCATGTTTTTCATAAAATAAGTTATTACTATTATTAATTATTTTGGATAATTGTCTATACTTCCAGGTTTCTTTGCCTGGTTTTAGTTGCATTTTCCAAATGTGATCATAACTGTCTTGGTCAGCTTGGGCTGCCATAACAAAATACCATAGACTGGGCCAGGCATGGTAGCTCACGCCTATAATCCCAGCACTTCGGGAGGCCGAGGCAGGCAGATCACCTGAGGTCAGGAGTTCAAGACCAGCTTGGACCATATGGTAAAACCCTGTCTCTACTAAAAATACAAAAATTAGCTCGGCGCAGTGGCTCACGCCTGTAATCCCAGCTACTTGGGAGGCTGAGATAAGAGACTCACTTGAACCCAGGAGGCAGAGGTTGCAGTGAGCTGAGATCATGCCACTGCACTCCAGCCTGGGTGACAGAGTGAGACTCTGTCTCAAAACAAAACAAAACAAAACAAACAGAAACAAAAAACCCCATAGACTGAGTGAGTTAAAAAACAGAAATTTAGGCCGGGCGCGGTGGCTCACGCTTGTAATCCCAGCACTTTGGGAGGCCGAGGCAGGTGGATCACCTGAGGTCAGGAGTTCAAGACCAGCCTGACCAACATGGAGAAACCCCGTCTCTACTAAAAATACAAAATTAGCCGGGGTGGTGGCACATGCCTGTAATCCCAGCTACTCGGGAGGCTGAGTCAGGAGAATCGCTTGAACCTGGGAGGCGGAGGTTGCGGTGAGCCGAGATCGCGCCATTGCACTCCAGCCTGGGCAAAAAGAGCGAAACTCTGTCTCAAAAAAAAAAAAAACAGAAATTTATTTTCTGATGGTTCTGGAGGCTGGAAGTCTGACATGAGGATGCCAGGATGGTTGTATCTGGTGAGGTCCCTCTTCCTGGCTTACAGGTGATGCCCTCCTGCTGTGTCCTCACATGATGGAGGGAGTGCCAGCTCTTCACAGTTTCTTCTTATAAGAGTACTCATCTCATCATGAGAACCCCCCTCATCACCTCATCCAAACCTGATTTCCTCCCAAAGGCTCTATCTTCAAATACCACAAATTGGAGCTTAGGGCTTCCACATAGGAGCTTGGGGAGGACGCAATTCATTCTATAACAATAACTCCACTTTGATGGGAGTGCTGATGGTAGGTACCATCTAGTTGATCTGCTCCTTTGTTTTAAAAAAAGTCTCTATTGGGAACATAACTATTATTCTTTCTATGATGCTGTAATTGTATTACTGTGGGGTTTTAATCTTCACATGAGATTCTTCCCAATATGACAGGAAAAACTGTTCATATGGCCAGGCAGTGGCTCACACCTGTAATCCCAGCACTTTGGGAGGCTGAGGTGGCAGGATTGCTTGAGGACAGGAGTTCAAGACCAGCCTGGGCAACAGAGTGAGACCTTGTCTCTATAAAAAATAAAAAAATATAACTTGGCTTGATGGCACGTGCCTGTGGTCCCAGCTACTCAGGAGGTTGAGGCAAGAGGATCACTTGAGCCCAGGAAGTTGAGACTGCAGTGAGCCACAGTCATACCACTGTACTCCAACCTGGGTGACAGAGAGACCCTGTCTCAAAAGAAAAAAAAAAAAATTTATACAGTGGTACAATAGAAGAATAAACAAAGTAAACTATTATTTAATTGCTACTCCCTTTGCCAAGTTTTACATTTTTGTGACACCTGAGAAATTTCCCAACTCTCTCATTTACTATTTGGGTATCAACATGTGCTCTATTATCTAATATGATTAGAAACAGAAATGGAACGTCTGTGAGGAAGTTACTGAATACGATGACTTCCTATGTCAAGTAAAAATGTGTTGATGATACAGTCTTCAGTTTCTTTCTAGTTGTAAATACATCTCACAGTTTTCAATGTAACCCTAAGAAGCAGAATTATTACTAAGGTTAAACTTTGCTTTGCTTTTTATAACAAAGGGCAAGAGACAAAGGGGCTTAAAGATGTGATATGGTGGAGATAGTTGTCCCTTCCAAGTCTCATGTTGAAAATTTGAAATTTGGGGCCGGGCACGGTGGCTCAAGCCTGTAATCCCAGCACTTTGGGAGGCCGAGACGGGCGGATCACGAGGTCAGGAGATCGAGACCAACCTGGCCTCCAACATGAGTGAGAACCCCGTCTCTACTAAGAAATCACCAAAAACAGCCGGGCCGAGGTGGACGGGCGCCTTATCCCAAGCTACTCGGGGAGGCTGACGGAGAATGCGTGAACCCGGAGGCGGAGCGTGCATGAGCTGAGCATCCCGGCCCACCTGCACTCGCCGCCCTGGCGACAGGAGCAAGAGACTCCGTATCCTCAAAAAAAAAAAAAAACAAAAAAAGAAAACCCTGACGACAGTATTTAGTTACTCAAGAAAGAACATAGAAAGAACAGTTGGCTGTGAGAATGGGATGAGAGAGGCTGCAAACTTGTAAAAGAGCGCCTAGTTCGTATTGTTAATTATCTCCCTTTTATTATATATTCTTTTTTTGAGATGGAGGTCCATCTTGTCCGCAGGCTGGATGCCACCGCCGCAATCTCCCACCTCAAAGCTCAGCTCGGCTTCATTTCTCCGCCTCAGCCACCTGAAGTAAGCGGGAAACTACGCACCCGCCAACCACGCCCAGCTTCAAAGAAGCGTTTTATTTTAGCTAAGAGGACGGGTTTCACCCATGTAGCCAGGAGCGTCTCGATCCCCTGACCTTGTGATCCCGGCCCGCCATCCCGCCTTCACAATAGTGCTGGATTACAGGCGTCCGAAGCCACCGCCAGCCCGGCCATTTATTATTATTATCTACTAATTTTTTTGAGATTGATCCACTTCTGGTCACCCCAGGCTCAGTGCAGTGGCTTCGATCCTGGGTTTACTGCAAGCTCCCTCCGGTTCCATACTATTTTCTGCGCCCTCGAGCTCCCAGTAGCTGGACACAGGTGCCGCCACCAACCCCCGCTAAGTTATCGGTATTTTTAAGCAGAGAACTGGGTTGCACTGGTGTACCAGCGATAGTCCTCGATCTCCTGAACCTCCCGGATCCGCGCCCCGCCCTCCAGTCTCCCAAAGTGCTGGGATTGGCAGGCATGAGGCCACCAATGCCTGGCCTAAATTATTACTATTTTGAGATGGAGTCTCCTTCTGTGCTAGGCTGGAGTGGCAGTGCGTGCCACCTCACCTGCCACCTTCGCCCTCCCAGCGTTAGGCAACTCCTGCCTCAGCCTTCGAGTAGCTCGGATTCTAACAGCAATGGCACCACCATGCCTGGCTAATTTTTGTATTTTTAGTAGAGACGGGGTTTCACCATGTCAGTCAGGCTGGTCTTGAACTCCTGACCTTGTGATCTGCCCGCCTTGGCCTCTGAAATTGGTTGGATTCACTGCACCCGGCCTTTTTTTTGAGACAAAGTCTCGCTCTGTTGCCCAGGCTGGAGTGCAATGGCACAGTCTCTGCTTACTGCAACCTCCACCTCCCAGGTTCAAGTGATTCTCCTGCCTCAGACTCCTGTAGCTGTAGCTGGGATTACAGGCATGTGCCACCACGCCCACCTAATTTTTGTATTTTTAGTAGAGACAGGGTTTCACCATGTTGACCTGGCTGGTCTTGAACTCCTGACTTCAGGTGATCTGCCTGCCTTGGTCTCCCAAAGTACTGGGATTACAGGTGTGAACCACCATGTCCGGCCATAAGGTTATTTCTTTGTTTTGTTTTGTTTTTTTGAGATGGAGTTTCACTCTTGTCACCCAAGCTGGAGTGCAATGGCACGATCTTGGCTCACTGAAACCTGTGCCTTCCGAGTTCAAGTGATTCTCCTGCCTCAGCCTCTTGAACAGCTGGGATTACAGGCGCCTGCCACCACGCCTGGCTAGTGGTTTTTTTCAAGATAGAGTCTTGCTCTGTTACCCAGGCTGGAGTGCAATGGTACGATCTCGGCTCTCTGCAACTTCTGCCTCCTGGGTTCAAGCAATTCTCCTGCTTCAGCCTCCCAAGTAACTCAGATTACAGGTGCCCGCCACCATATCCAGCTAATTTTTGTAGTTTTAGTAGACCATGTTGGTCAGGCTGGTCTTGAACTCCTGACCTCAAGTGGTCCACCAACCTCAGCCTCCCAAAGCACTGGGATTATAGGCGTGAGCCACTGCGCCTGGCCAGCTGGCTAATTTTATTTTTTATATTTAAATATAAATAAAAATATATTTATATTTTTATATTTTTGGTGGAGACGGGGTTTCACCATGTTGGCCAGGCTGGTCTTGAACCCCTGACCTCAAGTGATTCTCCCACCTTGGCCTCCCAAAGTGCTGGGATTACGGGCGTGAGTCACTGTGCCCAGCCACAGCATAAGGTTGTATAGCACAACATAGCTCCACTTAAAAGAATGAGAACTGCCGGGCGCAGTGGCTCACGCCTGTAATCCCAGCACTTTGGGAGGCCGAGGCGGGCAGATCACGAGGTCAGGAGATCGAGACCATCCTGGCTAACACGGTGAAACCCTGTCTCTACTAAAAAAACAAAAAAACTAGCCGGGCGAGGTGGCGGGCGCCTGTAGTCCCAGCTACTCGGGAGGCTGAGGCAGGAGAATGGCGTGAACCCAGGAGGCAGAGCTTGCAGTGAGCTGAGATCCGGCCACTGCACTCCAGCCTGGGCAACAGAACGAGACTCTGTCTCCAAAAAAAAAAAAAAAAAAAAAATGAGAACTAACTCTGCTTTCTCTTTCCCAGCAAGTCACAATTTTATGTATAGCAAAACTGTCAAGCGGCTGTCCAAGTTACAAGAGTATCAACAGTATTATCCAAGCCTGACCTGCGTCATGGAAGGAAAGGACATGGAAGGTACAACTCTGCAATGAGCAACAAGACTTCCCTTGCTATTAATCAAATTCCTAGTCTGATGGTTTATCATCGTCAGCACTAAAGGCCTAAACTAAAGGCCTAGTTTTTCCTACTGCACTCTTTATCTACTTGGTGTCTTAAATAGACACCTCAGGCCGGGCGCGGTGGCTCATGCCTGTAATCCCAGCACTTTGGGAGGGTGAGGCGGGTGGATCACCTGAGGTCGGGAGTTCGAGACTAGCCTGACCAACATGGAGAAACCCTGTCTCTACTAAAAATACAAAAAAATCAGCTGGGCGTGGCGGTGCATGCCTGTAATTCCAGGTACTCGGGAGGCTGAGGCAGGAGAATCGCTTGAACCCAGGAGGCAGAGGTTGCAGTGAGCCGAGATCACGCCACTGCACTCCAGCCCAGGTGACAAAGCGAGACTGTCTCAAAAACAAAACAAAACATGCTGAACGCGGTGGCTCACACTTGTAATCCCAGCACTTTGGGAGGGTGAGGCGGGTGGATCACCTGAGGTCGGGAGTTCGAGACTAGCCTGACCAACATGGAGAAACCCTGTCTCTACTAAAAATACAAAAAAATCAGCTGGGCGTGGCGGTGCATGCCTGTAATTCCAGGTACTCGGGAGGCTGAGGCAGGAGAATCTCTTGAACCCGGGAGGTGGAGCTTGCAGTGAGCCGAGATCTTGCCACTGCATTCCAGCCCAGGTGACAAAGCGAGACTCCGTCTCAAAAAAAAAAAAAAAAAAAACACCTCAAAATTAAAGTATCAAACAAGGGTCCTCAGAACTGTCTCACTTTCTCCTGCTCCCATCAATACTAAAGCTTAAAACTCGAGAATCATTCTTAGCAGTTTCTCTTTACTTATCATCTTCACCCCCACATCCAATTAATCACTAAGTTCAACGGTAAATATATCCCTCTCCCTATACAGTTCTGAATTAACTGAAAAATAAATATAAGAATAAAATTATACCTGGCATGGTGGCTCACATCTGTAATCTAAGCACTTTGGGAGGCCAAGGCAGGCAGATCACCTGAGGTTGGGAGTTCCAGACCAGCCTGACCAACATGGAGAAACCCCGTCTCTATCAAAAATACAAAATTAGCTGGGCGTCGTGGCGCATGCTTGTAATCCCAGCTACTCGGGAGGCTGAGGCAGGAGAATTGCTTGAACCCGGGAGGTGGAGGTGAGCCGAGATTGTCTCATTGCACTCCAGCCTGGGCAACAAGAGTGAAACTCCATCTCAAAAAAAAAAAAAAAAATTACCCAGCTATGTTGACATGTGCCTGTAGCCCTAGCTACTTTGGAGGCTGAAGTGAGTGCATCAGTTGAGCTCAGGAGGTTGAGGCTGCAGTAATAAGCGATTACACTGCTGCACTCCAGCCTGGGTGACAAAGTGAGACCCTGTCTAAAACAAGATAACAATAAATAAAAAATAAAATTATCAGCTTTATTGATGGTAAAACCGAATCATGAAATATGGCTTAGAGTGAGGCCAAAATGTTGCTCCCTAGTCCAGGCCTACTCACCTCCTGAGGGATAATTGGTTAGCTGTGTCCAGAATCAGGGACTGCCTACAGCCTCGTGTGCAGAGCCAGAGAGAGACAAGTTCTACATCAGAAATGTTTCAATGGCCTTAATCCTTTCCAGGAAGAAAACATGGACCCAAAGGGCATCAAACTGTTATTTCAAGAATGAAATCATTCTCTGCTTATAGGGAAAAACTGTGCGGGGTAAAAAGATGACAAGAGCTTGTTCCTCAAAACCACCATAGGCGGCCAGGCCCAGCGGCTCATGCCTGTAATTTCAGCACTTCAGGGCAGCTGAGGCCAGTGGATCACTTGATCCCAGGAGTTCTGGACCAGACTGGGCAACAAAGCAAGACACTGTCTCTACAAATAATACAAAAAAAATTAGCTGGATTAATACAAAAAAAATTAGATGGCGCACCCCTGTGGTCCCAGCTACTTGGGAGGCTGAGGTGGGAGGATCACTTGAACCCAGGTCAAGGCTGCAGTGAGCCATGATTATGCACTCCAGCCTAGATGACAAAGCACGATCCTGTCTCTAAAAAAAAGTTTTAAATATTTATTTTGGTATAATGTATGCCAAAATATAAAGAAAAACATTTTGACATGCTCTACATTGTTTGTCAGAGGGAATTTGTATAATCTGTTTTGTGCTGACAGTGGAAACGTGCTTCGAAGGAGAGACGGATCTTTTTCAGCACTTACCGCTCTTAAGTGTTTTGCATGTATTATGTCACCTCAACCTCTCAATATTCTGAGTAAGAAACATTCCCATTTACAAATGAAAAGAAAAATATTTAAGGCATAGAGTGGTTACATAATTTTCCCAAAATTACAGCACAGAAAATGAGGTTGCAACCCAGATTTGTCTTATTCTAGACTCATTCTTTAAAATTAGATGCTAAACTCTAAATGATATTTTTATCTACAATTATTAGTGGCAAATATAACACTGTCAAAGTTATTTTTGCTAAAGATGTAGACATGGTTCATGTATGACCACCAATAAATGATGAGAACCTTAAGTTAAAGTATTTGTCTTAGCTGGGCGTGGTGGCTCACGCTTGTAATCCCAGCACTTTGGGTGGCCGAGGTGGGCGGATCACGAGGTCAGGAGATTGAGACCATCCTGGCTAACACGGTGAAACCCCGTCTCTACTAAAAAATACAAAAAACTAGCCGGGCAGGGTGGCAGCCGCCTGTAATCCCAGCTACTCGGGAGGCTGAGGCAGGAGAATGGCGTGAACCCGGGAGGTGGAGCTTGCAGTGAGCTGAGATCGTGCCACTGCACTCCAGCCTGGGCGACAGAGCGAGACACCGTCTCAAAAAAACAACAACAAAAACCTGTCGCCAAGGCTGGAGAGCAGTGGCGCGCTCTGCGCTCACTGCAAGCTCCGCCCCCCGGGTTAACGGCATTCCCCTGCCTCAGCTTCCCGAGTTGCTGGGACTACAGGCGCCTGCCACCACACCCGGCTAATTTTTTGCATTTTTAGTTGAGACGGGGTTTCACCGTGTTAGCCACGATGGTCTCCATCTCTCCTGACCTCGTGATCTGCCCGCGTTGACCTCCCAAAGTGCTGGGATTACAGGTGTGAGCCACTGTGCCCGGCAAGTATTTGTCATTAAAATAATTTTTGTGGGTTTAAAGCAGGGCCTGGAAAACTAAGGCATGGGCCAAACTCAACCAGCTGCCTACTTTTGTAAATGACATTTTATTGCCATATTCTTTTTTTTGTTTGTTTTTGGTAACATATTGCCAGTGGTTGCTTTCATACTGCAGTAGCAGAGTTGAGTCGTTGCAACAGAGACCGTATGGCCCCCAAATCCTAAGATATTTACTATCTGGCCCTTTGCAGGAAGTTTGCTGGTCCCAATATAGAGTGAAATGATCTAGAGATTAGTAAATACAGCCGGGCACGGTGGCTCAAGCCTGTAATCCCAGCACTTTGGGAGGCTGAGACGGGCGGATCACGAGGTCAGGAGATCGAGACCATCCTGGCTA